TATGGGAACATATGTATGTGTATAACTGATTCACTTTGTTATAAAGCAGAAACTAACACACCATTGTAAAGCAATTATACTCCAATAAAAAAATTAAAAAAAAAAGAGTGAGACCTCTGTCTTACCTGTCTTTGTTTCCTACGTGCAATGTTTGGCACAGAAACGTCTGCAGGAAAGAGCATGGACCGAAGAGTCAACCATCACAGCCCTTCATCTGACTAGGAGTGTGCCTTTGGTCATGTTATGTTATGGCTCTAGGGCTCCATATATTAATCTGAACTCATTGCTACACTCTTCTTAGCACTAATACTCTAGCTGCATGCATTAGTGTGCTAGGGCTGCAGTAACAAAGCACAACTAACTGGGTGGCTTAAACAACAGATATGTATCATCTCACAGTTCTGGAGGATAGAAGTCTGAGATAAAGGTGTCAGCAGGGTTGGTTCCTTCTGATGGCTGTGAGGGAAGCATCTGTTCCATGCCCCTCCTCTAGCTTCTGGTAGGTTGATGGCAATCGTTGGCATTCCTTGGATTGTACATACATCACCCTGATTGCTGCCTTTATTTCCACATGGCATTCTCCTGTGCGTGTCTGTCTTAATTTTCCCCGTTTTACAAATACACCAGTCATAATGGATTACGGCCCACCCTAATGATCATGTTTTAACTTGGTTGCCTCTGTAAAGGTTCTATCTTCAAATAAGGGCACATTCTGAGGAACTTGGGGTTAGGACTTCAACATATGAATTTGGTGGGGGGGGACACAATTCTACCCATAACAGAGCTCTTAACAGATGCTCAAAATATCTGATGGATAACCTGAATTTATTATTCCTAAATAACTGGAGAATATCAGGAGAGTTTAGCATAGAAGCTGAATTCTGTGTGTGTATATGGAGGGCCAGGAAAAGAAATAAAAATGGAAGCAGACTTACAAATAGCAGGGCAAAACCGATAAACAAAACCCATGCAGTCACCAGGAACAGAGTAGTTCAACAGCTGGGCGTCTAAGGAAGACAGTGACAGGTCCTGTATATTGGTTAATGTGACAGATAGGCTTGCTGTCACAAAGATGATCAATAGCTCAGGGGCTTAAAGAATAAAGGAGTGCATTTCTTTCTTTTTCTTAATTTATTTATTTATTTATTTATTTTTGGCTGCGTTGGGCCTTCATTGCTCTGTCCGGGCTTTCTCGTTGCTGTGCGCAAGCTTTCTCTAGTTGTCGCAAGCAGGGGCTACTCTTCCTTTCAGTGCACAGGCTTCTCATTGTGGTGGCTTCTCTTGTTGCGGAGCATGGGCTCTAGGCTCACGGGCTTCAGTAGTTGTGGCACGCAGGCTCAGTAGTTGTGGCACACGGGCTTAGTTGCTCCATGGCATATGGGATCTTCCCAGACCAGGGCTCGAACCCATGTCCCCTGCATTGACAGGCAGATTCTTAACCACTGCGCCACCAGGGAAGTCCAGGAGTATACTTCTTTCTCATGCAACAGTCCCAGGGTCAAAGGTCTGGGTCAGTGGAGAAGCTCTGTTCTTCATGATGATTCAGGACCCGGGCTTTTTCTAAGACATTTTTATCATTTTCTTGGTAAAAGCTGGGTGCTTTCCATGTCTGCATTTCAGCTGGTGGGAAGGAATAAAAAAATCTGGAGCAGGCATGCTGAATGAATTAAGTCCCAGACCCAGAGTAGGGAGACATCACTTCTCACATTCCACTGATGAGAACTGTTTCCACTGCTATGCCTAACAGCAAGGGGGCCTGTAAAATGTGGTCTAGTTATGCACAATGGGACTAACTGTGGAAGAAAAGCATGGATCTTGGTGGACAACCAGCAGTCTCCACAATACTCCTTAAAGAACTTCAAAGGACAGAAAAAAAAGTCTTCCTTCTAGGACTAAATTCAGTGCTTACTATCAAAGAGTATATAATGCTATTGGGGAGAAAAGAATCAGTGTAAATTTCTTTCAATGGGCTATAATAATATGCCAGTCGCTGTGGAAAAGAATATAAGTGTAATCAAAATGAGGAGGAGAGGGCTTCCCTGGTGGCGCGGTGGTTGAGAGTCCACCTGCCGATGCAGGGGACACGGGTTCGTGCCCCGGTCCGGGAAGATCCCACATGCCGTGGAGCGGCTGGGCCCGTGAGTCATGGCCGCTGAACCTGCGCCTCCGGAGCCTGTGCTCTGCGACGGGAGAGGCCACAACAGTGAGAGGCCTGCCTACCGCAAAGAAAAAAAAAAAAATGAGGAGGAGAAAATATCAGATTGGGTCAAAATAATCAGAGGCCTATAACCATTACTATCGTCACTAATAACCATCACCTTTCTGTTGGTTTTCTCACTTGCACGTGGGGATAGCCATCATCATCAGTAACAACTTCACACAGAACACAATTTATATCACCTTAGTTAGGTCCTGCTTATGTACAACGATAATACATCCCATAATTACCTACCAATTAGCTTAATAACCATTTAGTTCAACACCTGGAGAAGCTGTGGTTCTAGCCTTTGTTTCCTGTGGTGTCTTTTTTCCCTTGAGGATTCAAGCTTAAACTTTCCTCCAGCTTCATTCTTTGACATCATGTTCCAAGAGAAATAAAATTTGTTCTCAAAGAGCAGACAGGTAGAAAAGGATACAGTAAGCTAAAAGGAAGTATTACAACAATAGTCAAAAAGTTATGTAACAAAAAACTGTCAGAGGTAATACTTTTATTGGGCACAAAATAAGAGACACAAAACCAGCTGTCTAAAATATATACAGAAATTCCAAGTTGTATTTGAAGTAAGGTGTCAGAGGATAGGATTTTTTCGAATTGTTGGTTAGTATATTTAAAACCTCTGAAAACTGAAAGGGATTCTTGCTTCCAGCTAAGACAGAGTAATAAGGAGCAAACTTACTGTCTCACTTGAAACAACCAAAGAGAGGGGGAGAGAGAGAGAGAGAGAGAGAGAGAGAGAGAAACCTCTGGAAAAAGTATATAAAACCATGGTCTTCAAGACACTGGATATCAGCCAACAAGGGACGGTGATCTTTGAGCGACACAAAACAAATGAGATAAGAAAAATTTGATAAACTGAACTTAATCAAAATAAAAAACTTTGGGGCTTCCCTGGTGGTGCAGTGGTTGAGAGTCCGCCTGCTGATGCAGGGGACACGGGTTCATGCCCCGGTCCGGGAAGATCCCACATGCCGCGGAGCAGCTAGGCCCGTGAGCCATGGCCGCTGAGCCTGCGCGTCCGGAGCCTGTGCTCTGCAATGGGAGAGGCCGCAACAGTGAGAGGCCGCGTACCGCAAAAAAACAAAAACAAAAATAGAAAACTTTGCACCTCAAAAGAAGACACCATTGGGGAAAAAAGACAAGCTACACACTGGGAGAAATATTTTCAAAGCAAGTATCTGATAAACAACTTGTATCTATCAATAGAATATATAGCATTTTCAAAAAAACTCTATATAAAACAAATAGCCAACTAAAAAACAAGGAAAAGACTTGAACAGCCACTTCACAAAAGGAGATACATAAACGGCAAAATGCACATGAAAAGATGTCTAACATCACTAGTCACTAAGTAAATGCAAATGAAAACCACAAAGAGAAGTCACTATACACCTGGCAATATGGCTAAAATTAAAAACACTGATCAAACTAAGTGCTGACAGGATGTTAAGTAACTGGACTCCTCATACATTGCTGGTGGGGAGGTAAAATGGTACAACTTTTTAGGAAAACTGTTCTGCATTTTCTTAAAAACGTTAAAAAAAATATACCTACTATTTTATGATCCAACTATTCCATTCCTAGACATTTACCCAAGAGAAAAGAAAGTATATGTCCATGCAAAGACTTGTACACAATTTTTATTGTAGCTTTGTTTCTAGTCACCAAAAACTGGAAACTACTCAAATCAGCAGATGAATGGATAAACGTATTGTGGTATAGCCAATGGGATACTACTCAGTAATAAAAAGAATGAACTATTGATACTAGCAACAGTGTAGGTGAATCTCAAAATAATTATTCTGAGTGAAAGTCAGTACAAATGAGTATATACTGTGTGGTTCCAATTATATAAAGCTCTAGAAAATGCAAACTAACCCATAGTGACAGGAAACAGATGAGTGGTTGCCTGGGGATAGGCAAATCAGGAGGGAGGGGTTGCCAAAGGATGCAAAGAAACTTTGGGGGGCAATAGATATTGTTCACTCTCTTAATAGTGGTGATCATTTCTTGAGTGTGTGTGTGTGTATATATACATATATATATATCAACGTGTATCAAATTGCATACTTTAAGTTTGTGCAGTTTATTATATGTCAACTATACCTCAATGAAGCTGCTTAAAAAAATTGGAAGAAAACAATATATCCATGTTTTTAAATTTTTTAAATTGTCTCTTATAATTTGGGAACAAACAGAATCGCAATTTGCCATAATTTTCAAATCAGTTCTCTAAGTTGTAACTTTAAGCAATTCTCATTAGTCTCTCATTAAAAACCAAATTTTAAAAAGAAGAGACAATTAAAGGACAAAGATTTTCATGAGTAAAGGAAAATACTTTTGAATTTGATATATTGTGTACCTATGTTGAAAAACTCGGTTCTGGAGTTTTTCAGAACTGGAGCTTCAGAAAACCGCCTGGCAAGAGCTGTTCATCCAGAACACTATTCCTCCCCATTTCTTTTTAGTTATTATTCCCACCTCCAAGAAAAACTAAATCTAATTTAAATTCTACCTGATGAGATAAATTAACAACTAAGGAATAAGATTTTATCAGGTAGGGTTGGTAGGCTTTTTTTTTTTTTTTTTTTTCTCCCCCCCCCCCCCCCCCGCCTCCACCCCCCACCCCACCCCACCACCCCCACCACCACCCCCCCACCAACAACCAATTTTCCCCCTCTTGAGGGCAATATGGCTCCCACTGAGCATGCATGTTTTACACAGAGGCAGCTGCCACCAGAACCGTGGCCCTAAAACCAGGCTTTGGAAGAAGCACCCTCACCTCTTTGGGCTCCTCCCCTGCAGCAGGGAGAGGAGTCTGCCAAACAGTCCAAGGGGTCAGCCCCGGATGCAGAGCAAGGCAGTGAAGAACACAGCATGAAGACCTGGGGGAAGAAAAAAAGTAAATGCCATTGAATTTGTTCAGATTTCTTATAACTTAAATGGGGCAAAATCTTTGGGGGAAGCCTCGTATGTCTTGGTAAGGAACATGAATTTTGTGTCTAGACTTTAAGTTCCAGCTTTGTCCCTCTTTTGTTGAAAAAGCTTAAGGACCATCTTTAAGCTTTCTGAGTCTCAGAGAGTAAAATGCGGCTATGGATATTTATTTCTGGCAGTTCCTTTGAGGATAAACTAAAATAACATATGCAGAGCGCTTAGTGATATGACTGGCTGGATAAATAATCATTAACTGTAAATTTGAGTGTTTATCATCTGTCCTTCTTTCCTTTCATTCAAAAGTGTCAAGACAGAGACTCTGCCCCATCAAGCTTGTGGCCTAGTACAGGGTCAGAGGTAGCAATCAAAGTACCAAAACAAAACAGGTTGTTTGAAGGACATTGTTTCGCAAAAGAATGGCCCTGGATACAACAGGGGAAAACTGGTAACATGTCAGTTAGCAGAGTTCTGTGTGACATCTTCTGAATACATTAGTCTCATGTTGAAAAAGTCATTCACAAAATCCTTTAGCCAATTGCTTTGCTCATATTTTTATTCCAGAGGGAGATCATTAAGTGATACTACAATTTCTACAAGGCTGATGATTCAGAAAGCTCCATTCTAGCTATTTTTCTAAGCCTTGTAGCCTCATCTGTAAGAGTGAGAGGATAATAGTACTTACCTCAGAAGGTGGTTGATGGTTGAATGAAAAACTGAATATAAAGTACTTGGTACTGGGTCTGGCTCAGAGAAAGTACTTAATAAAATCTAGCTGTTTAGATGTATTTCTCCACAGGTACTGAAGCCTTTATGACCTTGTTCAGGTGCTTATGCATGCCTTAATTTTTCATGTTTAACGTAGTAATGATTTGAAATATCCATTCCATCTCAGTAAAATTTTTACAGCTAATGAGAGACTATATCAAATTTATCAAGAAAATAGTTTGGCTTAAATTTAGGGATAGTTGTAATTATGCTTTTATTGCTATAATTCAGTTGAATATGTCCTTAATTTTTAATAACGAATTAATCAACAGAAAGAGTGTCTATTGGCCACCTATATCACAGTAGTCTATTGTTGGTATAAAAGTTTATTTAAGAGATAATGTTTATGGTTGTTTTTAAGCACCTGGTGCAACCTTCAAAGTTAGCTGCATATAAGATGCTTAAAGCATGTGAATGTAAAAGATAGAAAATATTTTAAATCCCAAAAATCTTTTAAGTTTTCAAAAAAATTTTTCAGCCTTTCAAAATAAACTTTTAAAGCCACCTACATAAAATAAAGCAAGATTGGAAAAAGGAGCAACAGCACACAGAAATAAAAATTTTCTAAGAAACTACTACCTATCTTGGAAAGCTGAAATGTTCTATAATACAGTTCTGGGTGAGCGGTCCAGCTACCCAGTAGTTTGTTCCACTTTACTGGAAGAATAAGACTCCTTTGCAAAGCCTTTTGGGAGTTACATCACTCTAATGAGAAAAAGAGCACTTCTGTTAAAAAACAAAGGACACCGATTAAGGCTTTTAAAAGTGCTGATTAAATAATAAACTAACTTAAACTATAAACAAAATGCTGATTAAGTGAAAACTGGCTAGCTTTCAAGGCATAATTTAAAGCCCTTATCAAGGATTTTTTTTTCCCTGGTTGCAAGGCCCTGTCAATTCTAGACAACTGTCCAGACATTCCACCCATGAGGGCTGTCCATGGGGCAGTTTATTTTTCCTTCTCGCACCTGTGCTTAATGAGTAGCAGTTTTGCAAGCTCGGCTGTTTTCAATGGAAGATAGGAAGGATTTCATGCCCCCCAAATAAAATCAAGATAAGAAACAAAACTACTGTAATTTATCTCCATTCATCCTACCCACAGAAGACCATGAAATAGTAAAAGACACTGCAGGCTCTTAAGGCAGAAAGTTCCAAAGGTCACCTAATCAATGGCCTCCCCTCCAACAGAACTGAAAGAGATTAAGAACAGGATAAAAGCCAAAGGTTTTCAGGAAAAACAGCCCACCTTCATTTAAATGTAACCCTTGGGGTCAAGAAGTTACTTTGTATCAGGGATGAGATTTTTTTGTTTTTCAATAGGCAAGAGATTTGACTAGGACAGTTATTGTCTCTCATGTGTGTATTCCTCTTAAAGAAAAGCCATTCTTCACTTAGAAACAAAACTGGCTTTTCAAACTTATCCCTTAAGTTGTTTTGATTTCAATCCTTTCTAAATGACTGGCTCTGATAAATTTGTTTTGTGCTTAACCATAATTTCAACAAATGAAGTCAGTTCACTTCAGATTTCCATAACTGCACATGCTCCTCATTACCTTCTCCAGTAACAAAACATCCAAATAACACCCCCCAAACTTACAAATATATGTGCTCCTTTTTGTTACTGAACATTTTTTTTTTTTTTTTTGTGCGGTACGCGGGGGCCTCTCACTGTTGTGTCCTCTCCCGTTGTGGCGCACAGGCTCCGGACGCGCAGGCTCAGCGGCCATGGCTCACGGGCCCAGCCGATCCGCGGCATGTGGGATCTTCCCGGACCGGGGCACGAACCCGCGTCCCCTGCATCGGCAGGCGGACTCTCAACCACTGCGCCACCGGGGAAGCCCTGAACATTTAAGTTTACCTGGGTTCTGAGAAAATTCCATCTCGATGGCAAGTCCAAGTAGAAACAAGGCACAGTCGTAAATAAAGATTTGTTCTGTCTCTACCACATGCGTGGCGTCACACAAATAGTAGGTTTTGTCAGAGGTTACTGGTGTAGAAGAAAGAATCCACTACTGTTTTAAAGGCAAACTTCCTCTTAGAAAAATGAAGAAATGAGGGCACCCTGCATATGCTGCAGCCACTTGAGTGCATGTCACTGAAACAAAATCAGAAGATGGTACAATACAAGTAAAAGAAGAATAAAGAAATCCTATGCTTCAATCAGTGTTTTAAAAACTTTTTTGGAGTGTAATTTACATACCGTAAAATTCACCCATTTTAAGTGTACAACTCGGTGATTTTCAGTAACTTTACCAAGTTGAGCAGCCACCACGACGATCTACTTTTAGCACATGTATTTTCATCACCCCAGTAAGATTCCCTGTGCCCATTGACAGCTAATTCCCATGCCCAGCCCCAGCCCCAGGCACCTACGAATCTACTTTTGTCACATTTCCTTCTCGAAATTGAGATGAGAAAAAGAAATCCAATGATATATCCTACAAACAGGAGGATACCATTTGCTGAAGAACCCATCCTGTCAAAATAGTCTTCAGATTTCTTAAGGGAGTGCAAGGGAATCTTGGACACGAGGCATACCTAGTTTGAACAGGGTCAGAGTGGAGAGATTTAATTATCTCTCCAGTTAGAGATATAGACTTACACAATTACAAGGGGCTTTGATAATGAAAGAATACTGTGATAAGCCTTGCTATCTAAGAAAATGTTTCTGTCTCCAAAGAAAAAAGAAGAGTCACTTTCAAGTAAAAGGGTGAACTCTCAAGCATTTCTATAAAATTCAGTCAGTATATTGTTGTATTTTTGCTTCTGAGACATTAGAAATATACCATATCCTTAAGCAAATTATATTTCAATGGATTGTAGTATCAGTTTCTTCTGAGATGTAAGTCACTTGGACTTTTTTCCTCCAAGCTCTCTTGTGTATATTATCCTAATGTATTTTGAGTACAGTAAATATATCAAACTATCATGGTTTTGGTTGACAAAATACATTTCTAACCACTTATTTCCTTCCCCCAGAATCTACGTATTTTAAGAAAGCATTAGCTTCAGGTTTACCTTCCTTACATCCTGATTTCCAGGTACCGTTCCCTCTGGAAGGAACACCCAGCTTCCCAGAAATTTACTAAGAATTTTACAAGGGGCCCTTTTAATTTGAAAAAGAAACCTGCTTTGTCAAGTGATGATGAGAAGTCAGGGGGGGAAAAAAACAACAGAAAAAACCCTCTAACCCAGACAAGACTCTAAATTTGGGGAAATCTGTGGCACTCTTTCAACTTGCAAAATTGGTCACAAAGATGCCTCAAGAAGTTACTTTACACTACTTGTAGGAAACTGATATTTGCTGTGTGGTTCCCCCCCCCCGCTTTAATTCCCTGTGTTAATAAAAGCAAATGTTAGTTTTGTGTCTTTGATGTGTTCGGCATTTTATAGACCAGAGTTCAAATTACCCCATGGCAGTCGCTGAAGGCAGAACTTTTGGAGAAAAGCAATCGCAGAAACAAACGTATTTGGCTAGCAGCGTTCATAGATTCTCAAAGCAAACGGGAGGTGTGCACTAGGAATCTAACTAGGAGGCAAAGCTTTGAGTTTAGATCTCTCAGGAGTTACTGAAGAAAGTTGAGGACTCCTTTTGAAGATCTTTAAAAAGCACGTGTGACTTGTGTTTGTCTGTAAAAAGGACTGATGTGATGAGTTGCTAAATGCTAGAGACTTCTCAGATTCCCTTTCTACCCTGTGCCTTTAGAGGGAAAGAAAAGGAAATCTTAAATGGGAACTTTCCATATTCTTGGAGTAAGTAACATTTTGGGGGAAAAAAAAAAAGTCTGGCAGCGGGGCTGTGGGAGGGGAATTCTGTGATGAGACCGATGTCCACCAAACGAAAATGCCAAATAAAATCAAGGAAGGGACTGTAGGAAGGAAAGACTGGAAATGGTCTTTTCTCAGCTTTTAAGGACTCAAGGATCTCTGCCTTGTGTAACGGGCGCGGTGAACATGGGCAAGGACACCACCATCTTTCTCCGAGGTCGGTCCAACTTTTCAGTTTTCAGTGGTAACAGGCATCCCATCCCCGGGAAAAGAAGACTTTCTTGCATATTTGGAAAAAAGCAAACTGCTGCTCTGTCCTTTCAAAAGAAACCTCGTTCTCTGAATTACCCCCGGATCCGTCAAGCGCCCCGCAGAACTCCTGGTACTAAGTAAAAGCTCATTAAAAGGATCGTTTCTCCCTCCTGCCCCCCAGCTAAAACGTCCTCAGAACTGGGCAGGCACAGCGTTTAGAAGGGGAGAAGTCTTGAACAGGAAACTGTGAAGGCAAAGAAAGTGAGGCTCCAGTCAGTGCACAGTAAACCAAAGAAAGGGAACAGAGTGAAAGCCAGCCGCGCCCTGGGACAGCAAAGTCTACATTCCTACAGCTGCAAGGTGGTGGCTACTTTATGGTTTTACCCTCCCCCTCGAACTGCACTCCAGTGAGCAGAGACTTTTTTTCCAGAGGAGACGCAATGTCCTCAACCACCCCCACTCCCCGCCGCCAACCCCAATAAAATAGAAAAAGGAAGCGGGGTTGGGGGGGGTGGACTTGCGACCCCTTTGCTACACACGACTCCGGCCCCTCCCTTTCCTCCCAGTCAACCCCTTTCTAGCCGCTTCCCAATCCCTCCCCCTTTGCTCCCCAAAAGTTTGATGACCGCAAAGGAAACAGAAAAAAGTTCTCTTGCCCAATCCTGGCGGGCGATCAGCATCTCTTTTGTTCGAGGAGAACCCACAGCCCCCCTGACGTCACCCGGAGCCCGGGCCAATCCGCGCGCGGTCGGCGGCGGCGGCGGCGGCGAGAGGAGGGTGGGGGGAGTCGAGCCGGTCCCTCCTCCCCCGCGCCCAGGGCCTCGCGGGGGGCGGGAAGGGACAGTCCCATATAAACCCCGGCCCTCTGGGCTCGGCCGCCCGCGCCGGCTGCGCTTTTCAGGGGAGGAGAGAGAGCCCTAGGCGCGAGCGGGGGAGAGGGGATCTGCAGCCACAACTTCTTTCGTCCTCTCCTTCCCCTGTGTACCTCTACCCTTCCCTTTCCCCATCCTCCAGCCCTTACCTTCTTGGCGGCACTGAAAGGGTCTCCGCCCGCAGGTTGCGAAGGGAACCAAACTTGGTGGCGAGTTGCCTCACCGTCTGAAGATGCTCGGGGATCCGGGGCCCCGGCTGCTGCTGCTGCTGACCGTCCTGTCCCTGGGGACAGCGGTGCCCTCCACTGGAGCCTCGAAGAGCAAGAGGCAGGCTCAGCAGGTCATTCAGCCCCAGTCCCCGTTGGCTGTCAGCCAAAGCAAGCGTGAGTACTGACCTCGGACTGAAACAGGCTGTTGCAGGGATGGGACCCGTAAAGCCAACCGAAGTTGTGGCTGAAGTTTTGCGCGCGCGCACGTGTAGAGAGTGTGCACTCCTTAATGAGAGAAACCGGCTGGGGAACCAAAAGACTTGCTTTGAGCAGGCTGGTTCTGAGGGCCTAGAATAAGATAATGCCTTGGAGAACAGGGGCTCTGCGAGGTCCCGCAGTGCTCTTACCAACTCAGGTCTAAGTCCTATGAATTCATCAAAACTTGCCTTTAAAGAGAAAATGATGTATGCCTTTAAACTTTCCATGTGGGATTACTGTGGGGTTAAACGTTTTCAAAATGGGGGTGAGGAGATGGTAGCTAAATAACTGTGTTGTTCCTACTTTGAATGAGATGTGTTACTGGTTCAGATTGCATCCTGAGGCCCCCAGGATGCTTCTCCAAGAAGAGAGATCGGAAATCCTCTTCCAGTTTTTCAGACACACCCTCCCTTTTCCTTGGCTAAAGGAAACTGCTGAATGTTGCCCTTCTTGACTTATTACCCCCAAAGAGCACTGAAATTCCTTGCATGTTTTAAAATGTAGTTCCCAGTTATCTGCTTTTCAAAATGTTTCCACGCCTTTGATGCAGACCCCTGGCCAGATGGAAATGACATCATTGTATAACATTTAACTAAGTCGGAAGAAAAACAAAAGGAATAACCAAATATCTATGTGTGCAAATTTGCGGTTAACTCTTTAGACATCTAGTCGCTTTTAATTCTCCTGTTGCTCTGATGGTTAACTTTTTCCCCTACATTTGTTGCTTAGGCTCATCAGTTTAGTTGTGCAAGAAAATTCCATCATTTGGAAAAAAGAAGGATGCAAACTTAGTGACTTTTCCCTTTAATTCTTTATAGCTGGTTGTTATGACAATGGGAAACACTATCAGATAAACCAACAATGGGAGCGCACCTACCTGGGCAGTGCCTTGGTCTGCACCTGTTATGGAGGGAGCCGGGGCTTTAACTGCGAGAGCAAGCCTGAACGTAAGTGGGGGCGGGGGGGGGGGGGGAGCCTGTCTTGTACTTAATATCTTCTCATAGATGGAGAAGTAGTGCCTGTTAATTAAAGTTAGCATTAGTAATAAAATTACATTCACCATTTCCCCAATAGAATTATTTGTCATTTCCTCTTGAAAAATGTTTAATAACTGCTTATATTTGCTTTTCACATGTTCCTTTTACCTTTAAAACAGAAGAACAAATGTATCTCAAAGTAGTTCCCAGAGTCTTTTTTTGGGGTTTTACTTTCCCAAAGCCTTTGATGAAAAAAAAAAAGAAAAATGTTGTGTGTTCCTGCTTCCTCCAAAAAAAAAAATGATTATAACATTTTAATTTATTAGAAAGTAATTTCAAATCTTAAACTGTAAAATTATGGGACAGAAAACACTTTGGGCAGTACATTGTAAAGTGATTTGTCCCCTGCAGTTCAACATAAAATCATTAACCACTTCAAAGTTGTCCTTCCTTTATGACCCTTGATATATTTCTTGTAAATTCTGGCAACTCCTACAGAGAAGCACTGATGAGGCTAAAATGGAAATAGTAGGATTAATAACTGACAGTGCCTGGGGAGGGGCGGGAGGAGGGGCTCTTCAGATTGTTTATTTTTATGTGGACCTTGGTTTGTCTTTCTGAGCCAGAGAGGTGAATCCAAAGCCCTTCCTTCACAATCTAGCCGGTCCTAAGGTCATACGTTACGGCTTTTTCCTAAGGGCCTGAGAATCCTTTCCAATGGCTATTCATTTCCAGAAAATTAGAGAACTTGTCAAAGATTGAAAACTGAGGCTTTATTAGAGCCTAGGGTAAAATCGAGATCTCCCATGTCAATTTTTTTTAAACTTTCCGTTTGCCCCTTGCTACTCGTAGAATGGAAAAGTGAGTTTTCCTTTGGATGGGAGTAGTGAAAGAGAAAAGCTTTTACATATGTAAGGCTCATGTGAACTTTCCTTC